GTGCACACTGCACCCACTAGGTGTGTATGTACCCATCTCCTCCTCCCCACTCCAATCTTCCTGACACCCGATGAATGTTATTACTACATATGCACTTAAATGTTGATCAGTTGACACCAATTAGATGGCGAGTACATGTGGTGCTTGTTTTTCCATTCTTGTGTTACTTCACTTAGTAGAATGGACTCCAACTCTAACCAAACAGAGACATAGACCTATGGAACCGAACTGAGAACCCAGATATAAAACCATCCTCATATTGGTATCTGATCTTTGACAAAACAGACAAAAACATACACTGGAGAAAAATCCTTATTCAATAAATGGTGCTGGGAAAAGTGGATAACCGCATGTGGAAGACTGAAACAGGATCCGTACCTTTCACCTCTCACAAAAATCAATTCACGGTGGATAACAGACTTAAACCTAAGGAATGAAACTATAAGAATTCTAGAAGAAAATTGTGGAAAAATTCTTATAGACATTTGCCTAGGCAAAAAAATTATGAAGAAGATCCCAAAGGCAATCATGGAAGCAACAAAAATAAATAAATGGGACCTGATCAAATTAAAAATCTTCTGCACAACCAAAGAATGGGAAATATTGAAAGGTGTAGATCTATTCTAGTCCTCTATTTTTAATACATATTTTAAAATAAACTTGTCAATTTCTACAAATATTTCTATGGGGATTTTAAGTGGGTTATTATTGACTAAAATTTTGAGCGTGATTTCATTTGTTCTTTAATTTCTTTCATTAATATTATTCATTTTTTAGCATGTAAATATGGCATAAATTTCCTATTTTTATCCCTAGGTATTTCACGTTATTCAATTCAATTTATGTGTTATGTTTATTTGAATTTCCAACTGGTTTTAATAATATGTAAAAATTATTGAATCGTGAATATTGATATTGTTCACCATAAACTTGTGAAAGTCACTTAGTGGGCTGAATAACTTTTTGAAGATTCATCTGATTTTCTACATAAATGATTATATTGTCTAAGAATAAAGACAATTTTATTTCTTTCTTTACTATCTTTCTTATATTTTATCATTGTATAATCGAAGATCTTTAGTATAGTATTGAATATAATAGCTCATGCAAACAACCTTGCCTTACGTATCTTTCCTTGTGATGTCTTTGGTTTGGTATCAAGGCAATGCTGGCCTCATTAAATGACTTGGGAACTCTTTCCTTCTATTCTATGTCCTGGAAGCCACAGATCAATAAATAAATAGAAAATATGAACAAAATGGTGAATCAACTAGATCTAACAGACATCTAAAATATTCCATCCAGCAACAACTGCCTACACATTCTTCTGCAGTGCATATGGAACACTCTCTATGATATACTATATGTTAGACTATAAAATAAGCCACAATGAATGTTAAAAGATTAAAATACAAAGTATATTCTCCCTTCAAGATGGAGTAAAATTAGAAATTAATAACAGAAAGAAATTTGAGCCATTCACAAAGTTTTATGGAAATTGAGAAATATACTATTATACAACCAATGTTAAGATAAATACAAAGGGGAAATTAGAAAATACTTTGAGATGAATAAAATTGGAGATACAATATACCAAAACTTATTGAATGCAGGGAAAGCAATTCTTAAAGAAAAATGCATTTTGGTAAATTCCCTTTGCTAAATAGGAAGGAAGTCTCAAATCAACAACCTAACTAACCTTCCATGTTAAGACAATGGAAAAAGAAGAGCCAACTAAACCTAAATAAAGCATAGGGGAGAAAATAATTAACTTAAGAAGAGAAAAACAATGCAGAAAATTCATAAAATGTAAACTTGGGTGTTTGAAAGACTAACAAAATTGATATAATTTTTGCTAGGCTGACAAAGAAAAAAAGAGAAGACTCAAATTACTAAGAGCATGAATTCCAAAAGAAACATTACTACCAATGTTAAAGAAGTAAAAATGACTGTAATTGAATATTATGAAGAACAATGAATGCAAATGAGTCAGATAACTTAGATGAAATGGACAAATTCCAGAATGCCAAAAATATGAAATCAAGTTGATGGAAGAATCAGTTCCTTCTGGAGGCTCTGGGTGTCAGGGCATTCCACTAAAACCCGCCTGTTTTGCTTATTCTGCTCCTAAATTGAGTAGCTACTAATACTCAAAGCTGATGAGGTGATTTGGGGTCATACTTCTGATTGGTTGATTACCATATAAATGAAGTAACTTTTGGGACATACTTCTGATTGGCTGACTACTATGTAAATGAGGTGACTTTTGTGAAAACTTGTCATTGGCTAACTGTAACCCCCCAAAAGGTATAAAACTAAAAGAAAATGAAAAAGGGGCTCTCAGAGTTTGGTGGCAAATATGTCTCTCTCAGCCCGCCAGGGAAATAAAGATGACTCTCCAACTCTCCGTGTGCCGCTCAGGTTTTTCTTCAGCCAAGAGTTGTTCACACCTGCTGAAACATGGGGAAGAAACTCTCCCACTTTTCTCCTCTAGCTTCTTATGGTTTCCACTAATCCTTGAAATTTCTTACCTTGTAGTTGCATCACTCCATTATCTGTCTTCCTCTCACATTACCTTCTTCACTATGGGTCTCCACATCCTCCTCACTTTTGAGAAAGACATTAGATACAGGAATCACCCTAAATCCAGTATGATATATTGAGATACTTAACTTATTACATTCATAAAGATTACTTACAAATAAGGTCACATTCTGAGGTTTCAGGTGGATAACTTATCTTACTTTTTATTGTCTGAAACAGTATTGATTCTGCTTTCATATGTGAAAAATATTTTCCTTGGGTATATAATTTTAAGTTAAAATTGTTTTTTCCTTTCATTTCTTTAAAAATGCTTCTCTATAATCTTCTGGATTTTGTAGTTTCTGACAAAAAGCCTGAACTCATTGTTATATCTGTTCCTTTATGCCTTTTGTATCTTTTTTTCTTGGTTGATTTTTCAAGAAATTTAATTATGATGTGCATTCGGGTAGCTTGTCCTCTACGTTTCTTCTCCTTTTCTTTGTTGAGATTCTGGAACCTGTGGGTATATAGTTGATATGAAAATTGGAAAATATTTAGTCATTATTTCTTCAAATATTTTCCTTCCTTTCCTATCTTGAGTAAAATTATATTTATTTTAAATTGAACTCATATTATTTTTTTCAGTTTTAATCCAATTTTACCCTTGTGCTTCATTTGGACATTTTCTAATTGTGTTTTTCATTCATTAATATTTTCCTATGGAGACGCTAATATGCTAGTTATCCCATCTAGTTTATTTTTCATCTCCATAGATTACACTTTGGTTCTTTGTACTTTTGTACTTTCTGTTTCTTTCTTTCTTTATGTTTCATAATAATATGAATATTAATATTTATATTATTACAATATGAAATAACATAATAATATTATGTTTCATAATAAAATTGTTCATTATTTATGTTTTTTTTTCTTCTATATTTTTGAACATTTGGAAAAAACAGCTGTTTTAATGAGCTTGTCTGGTAATACTATCATTTCTGTTATTTGTGGGTCTTAATTTATTTGGAGATAAATTCAATCTCTTTGAGGCTTAATTTTGACTTTTTTCAAGACCTTTTTAGAACAACATTGAGTTTAAGGTTCACTTAGTCCCACTACTAAGGTAATACTCTGTTGAGGAAAGATGATTGAGAAACTAATGAAATGTGGCTCATAAGATTACTGTTTTATTGTATCACCCAATATTCCTATATTGAAGACAGAAGCAAGAGTTTGCAGAGTTTTGCCATGAAGGAATATGTAAACTTGTTAGTTTGCATATCAAGGGCTGCCTTACCTTGGGAGGGCACTCAAAGATCTAGTAGATGCATTCCATGAGGCTTTTCTATCTCATATCTGTGACATCTCCCTGATCTTGAAAGAAAAGATAGGTAAATACTTGGGGTCATAGGATGGGAGGGGGAACAATGAGCGTCCTAGCTCAGAGACACACCCCTGTGGTTATGAGCAATTTAGCACAAAGCTGAACTTCCTGCTTTCTCCCGACTGTCTCAAATCCACAATAACTAGATAAAAGAAATATAGAGCCACTATATCTCTGTGTAACCCCTATGTAAATTGATAGCTATCTCTTAGAACTTATCAGCTAGTCCTTGAAAGATTAGAAATTGTTAGAAGCCCTTTGAAAAAACTTTTTTTTTTTTTTGAGCACTGTTTTCCAGCATCTGGCTTTATTTTGCAGTACAGAAATCATGTGGAGCCACTGTGAGACAGGAGTAGGGCTCTGTTAAATCAATACTGCATCACAGCCTGGTCCTTGGAAGAAGCCATGCCTGAGATACAGAAGACACGACGTCTGCGTTTTAGCTGCCTTGCGATGGGTCCCTCCCCCTTCTAGCATCAATTTTATTAGGTTAAAACACCACATACTGGCTTCCTCTAATTGACTCCCCAAGTCTAGAGTTTGGGTAAGATTTTATGCCTGTATAACCAAACTTGTGGCTATGCTATTTGGGCCCTGCCATAATACTCACCATAACACAAAATGTCAAGTTATAGGGAAAACTTATGAATGCCATCCCAAGCCCCATAATACTCAATTCAGAATCTCCTTAATGCTGAGAGGACATATGGCACACTAATTGTATGGGTCCAGCTCTTGAGAGCAGCAGCAAATAACTGCAAAGGCTACACTGATTAAAAGATACAAATACTGTCTAAAATTCACTGTATTTGTATCGCAATGTTCATTTAAAACTAATCCCTCACTATAAAAAAAGCCAGTTTGGTTAAGTAGAACAGAATGTGGTAACCTGCCAATTCTGAATAGCCACTCCATGAAAACAAAAGTTAATACATGATATTAGAAAGATGAAGGGGAGGAATGTTCACTGGCACAGTGCTCCTCAACCTCTCCATTTTGATTACAAAAGCAGACCTTACAATATTGATTTCATACAATGCATTATTTGCCAAATTGTAAATGTGTCCTAATTAGACAATGGCATGTAATGCTGTTAGTCTTCCCCATAGATGTCAATTTTCTTGCCCTTCATTTCCTCAAAGTCAAACTCTGATCCTGTCATCTTCTCATAGATGTCTTTAATGTCATCGCAGGTTGTCTCAAAGTGAGTTGTAGCATCATATGTGTGGGAAATAAAGATCTGGCTTTCTGTTCCCAAATCTGTTGGTACAAGGAGGTCACTGATGCTAACAAACTTATGTCCAATTGGTTCTAAGAGCTCCGGAGCTGATCTGATTTCCTTCTCGGGCTCCTTGGTTTCCACAGTTGTGCTAACTATGGCAATGTACTTCCCCACATTGTGTGCAGAGGATATCTTGCAGACATAGATGTCTGACTTTCAATTGACTTGGTTCTGTGGAATAATGATCTGGCAGGAGTTGGCGTCGTTGGTGTTCTTGATGGGGTGACTGAGGATGCGGATCACTCTGATCACCTGGCCCACTTTCTCCACCCGTTCTTTCACATAGCTGGGGGTGCAGATGAGCTGCTTACAGTGAGCAATTTCTCCCTCAGATTTTACACCAATCACTTTTCCATTCTGGACAATGATTTCTTCAATTGGTTTATTCAGCATGTAGGTACCTCCATAAATAGCACTTAGCCTCACAAATCCCTGTGGCAGTTCTTCAAGGCCATAGAGCCGATACAGGTATGGGCTTTTGCCATATCTTGCCAAAGACTCACTGTAAAGTTTAATTCTATTAATGGTTTCACAACATGGTTGATCTAAGTAGTCATCAGTTCTGTAAAGTGCAAGAGCATGACCAGTAAAATCTATAACATCTTGGCCCAAGTCAAATTTCTTATACACATCGTGCATTGTGGTCTTCTTAGGATCAATGCCCTCAAAAGTTCTGGTATCTTTTTCATCAAAGTTGGCCACATACACTAGGAATTTCCTGAAGCTGCATTATTCAAACAGTCCCATTAAACTAGATGCCAGAGCTTCTGCTTCAGTAGAAGGAGCCTTGTAGATTTTTCCACCCTTATAGACAAAGCTCCCTTCAATCACTTTGAAATCCAGATAGCAGGTGACCTCTGTATAAAGCAGCATCTTAACCAGCTGACCATTAGCCATAAGGAACTTGGGAATCAAGTCAACATTACAGTCTCTTCCTCTCCCCATTGATGCTGGTGGTGTTCCTGGTAATTTAAATCTTTTGTATAAATCTTCCAATGGTGTTATAGATCCACTCTCTCCTCCATAATATGGGTTCCGATCCATGTGAAGAATTTTCTTGCCATTCACTGACATTATACCTGACAGGATGCATTCCGTCAGGTCAGTGCTCAGCACGATCATGTCGTACTCCTCATTCATGGCGCGGCCGCTCGAGGACCCAGGACCCGGGACCGCAAAGGCCCAGCGGCTCTGCGGCCATGCTAGGCGGGCTCCGGCTGCGCTCGGCCTGGGAGGAGAGGCAAGATGGAGCTGGCGAGGAGGCGAGGCTGGCCACCACCTCAGACAGGAAGAGAAGAGCGAGCCTGAAAAAACTTTTTAATCCAAACTCTACCTGTTATAATGCAAATCTGTTACTTCTGGAACTTGAACTACCTGTTATGTAAATCTGTTTACCCATAGCAACCACACTACCTGTTATTATGTAAATCTGTTACCCTAGCAACCAACAACTGATATCTGTGATTATAAAACCTATGTGAATGCAACCTCGGGGCTTCACTATTGATGGAGATGTAGTGGAGACTCCTGAGCATCCTTGCTTTTTCTTAATTACTTCATATAAATCTATAAAACTATATCTTCATCTCTGTGTATTCTTTTATTCTCTCTATTTCCTATTAATTTCTTATCCTCTGTGACAACTACTACCTAAGGGACCCAATTTCCCTGGGAAAAGTAGCTAATCTTCCCATGGCCTGCCCAAAATACTCCTCTGTGATGCTATATGATGCCATATGTATTACAGAGTCTTTTTCATTTCCAGGTGGGAACATGGTATATTACCAGCCCTATGTGAGCACCAGGAATGATTTTGCAGATTACATTTTGCTGTTCTTTTTTCTAGGTTCAGGTAATTATCTCTAATGTGGTAATCAATGTGCAGATCAGTACTCACCCAAAGACTTTAGAGGAACACTCTGCATATGTCATAAGCTTTCGTTCTGTCCAGCTCCCCATTCTTTGATAATTTGCCTTACATATTCTAGCTTTCTTATCTTTCTCAAGCTTTGATCTTTGTCTCCTCAATTTAACCAGACCATGTTCTCTTTGGATTCCTCCTCTTCTGTAAATTGTTTTCTGGAAATTGCCTGCCTCAAGGCAGTAAGCTGGAGAAATTTTAGATGTCACCTCCCTCTGGGATTTTTCTTTTTTGTTGCCAGTTCAAAGTGTTAGAACTATTGATTCATACTTTTTTTTCAGTTTTCTACTCATTTAAAGTGGGAAAATAAATTTGGTTTCTGTCACTGTACTGTAAATAAGGGTAGAAACCCCTAATGTGATTTATCATCCATAAATTGAGGGTGTTTTTTTCTGAGTGTACATTTTATTCCCAGAAATTCCATTTTAAATAATTCTTGTTTTTTTTTGTTGTTGTTGTCTATTCATCTTTGCAATTGAATCTTTTATATTTTAAAATATTTTATTCATAGTTCTTCTTTTCATAGTAATACCAGCATAGTAAGTACTTTCGGTTCTAAATCAATTGTTTCTTGGTTCTGTTAGTTTATAATAATTTGATCACTTGTGTGTTTGGTGAGCATAATGAAGTCATATTTGATATTGGCTTTCAGAAATTCTACAGTCTCCATTTGAGAGAGTTTTCTTGCAAAAAGTGTTTTCCACTTCTTTTAATAATAATATCTTATTCTGTAGATGAAATCATATTATTTTATATTATTAATCACTTTGGCTCAGGAAGTATACTGGTGGCTCAGGGAAAAACAGCCACCAGCTTGTCTCTTGCAAGTAATAGTATATTAATATCAGTCCAAACTCTTAAAGATAGGTGATTTTCTGTTTATGTTTTCATTAACTATCCTACTTAGTGGATAGCAGCCTCTTTTATTCATGTCCTTCTTGTGTCCAGTAGTAGCCACCTCATGGTGCTAGTAACATTTCAATTATTTCCACTCAAAAATCTAAACTTTCTCTATAACATTTTTGTTGGGTTTGTTTCAGGAGGGAACACAGAAGTATGTATAGAACAGAATGTGGTTAATGGAAAACTTAGGCTTGTAAAACAGTACACAGGTGTCTGGAGAGTCCCCGGAGGTTATAAAATCTAACAGACAGCACTGACACCAGCATTCCTATCTTTCCTGATGAGGACAAAACTACCCCTTCCCTTATCTCTGCAGGATGAGATAGATGCAGGGTCCCAGAAATTTGTTGTTTAAAAATTTTTATTTAAGTGGCTGTTCTGGCCAAAGTACTCACCCATCCCTACACAGAAACCCTCTATAAAACCCAAGGCTTTCCCCTCCCTCAGGGTGGATGCTTTTTTGGCCTCCACCCATCTGCACCCAGATGCTCAAATAAATGGCATTTGCTATGTGTGAGGCTTCGTGTATTTCCCTCTCCTAACAACTTTGACAATCTGAGTATGAAAGGCCATGGAATGTAAGTAGAAGAGATGTAAAAGAGTATTTAGTGGTATTTCTCTGTTTTTTCCTGTCATTTATCTAGCAAATCAAGGATAACCCTGGAGACATAATATGATTTTGGAGGTGACAGAATGAACAGTCCATAATATCTTTTAGAGCAGCAGTCCCCAATCTTTTTGGTACCAGGGACTCATTTCATGGAATGAGATGAGTGAGGTCAATGGAGCTCTGTGGCCTCGTCCCTAACAGGACACTGACTAGTACCAGTATGCAGCCAAGGGTTGGGGGGCGTGGGGAAGGAGCACAGCTGTAGAATACTGGCCTTAGGCCAGGAAAAACCAAGCCTGTGCCCTGAGCCATGTTCTGGATCTCTTGTGCCCACACTGCTTCCTATAGGATGAGGTGTCCAAGCTCATCTACAGCCTACACATATACTTCTAGACTTCCAAATGACAGAGGAAAGTAGATGGTGCTGCAACTGTGCAAACTTCTAGGCTCAAGCACTGGCCAAAGGGCAACTGTTTGTATATGTGTGGAGGGAGAGGGTTGGCTTGGGGACTGCCCTCATTGCATAGGGTAGAGCAGGAGTGAGAAAATAAGGAAGGATGGCATGTGAAGTGAGGTTCAAGGCCTTATTTTCCTGGTGCTCTTATGTTTTGTTTCACAACACTTGTATATCCCAGAATTCTAAAATTATATTTTGCCTTACAACTTCTTATCAAGTTGAAGGGGAACATACATTTTTGTAACCATTTAACTTAATTTACAACTTATACATAGTTAAATATATTATTTATGAGCTTTCAATTTTACTCTTGACCCCATCCTACAAATGCCAGGTGTGGGTCTGCCTCATCACATTATTGGATAGTGACTGACAGGCTTGTATGAGGTTCATCTTTTTAGTTTCATATTTTATTCAGTAAAAATTCAAACAATTGGAATGAGTAAGTTTTAAGTTCACTTTCATCTCTGTGATGATAAATGTATGAGATGGATGAAGAAGGATTTAGGGAGAGCAGGAAACAAGTATGAAATCCTGGAACACCTGTAGAAAAGTATGATAAAAAGGAAGAAGGGCAATGAAAACAAAATCACTTTTAGCCCTAGGTATGATAACTGCATAAGTTCATTTGTTATATGTATTTGCTTATTTCAGTTATGTCTATTATATTTCAACTAAGGAAACCAATTATAACAAAACATAATTGAAATAAATGAATAAAGCCAAACCTTCATTTTATCCAATTATCATTTCTAAGGCCAGTTATACAATAAACCATAAAGTAAAAAGAATTACAATAAATTAGCTTTCAATTAAAATGGGAATTTTACAAAATGGCCATGATAGATTTATATTCACATGGAGTATGCACTTATTTGAAGACAATACTGATCTATGTGTGAAAGGAAGATATTCCATTATGTTTCTGTGGCATTCTTAAATAATTAAGAGCTAAGTATGAAAGTTTTGCTTAGGCAAAACATACCCACCTCAGTTAAAAGGCTTTTTACATATCAATAGGGTGCCCTTTGAGGCATAACTCAGTGCACAGGATTTATTCCATAAAGCCCACATTCATTGGGTATGCATAGCAAATATCCTCATTAACAATTTGTGTAAAAGGAGCTATACCATTGTTCAAAAGGGGCAGAGAGGTGAACATGATAATAAAAAGATGCAGTTAAGTTAGTCACTTCCTGAAATTTTTATATTGTGCTTTTCCTATTTTGTGCCTTTAAACAAAAATCAGTTTAAGAAGTTTGGTTGCATATTAGGTCGGATGAAGAGAATGAACTGACTTAAATAAAAGTCTAGAGCCCAGAGTTTAGAGGAGCCTGCCCCAGAGAGGACCAGTCAGTATTGCTACTACTAACATAATAGCAGGCAGCTTGTTAACTAATGACAATGGAAAAGTCAAGAGTGTAGTACTTCAGTGAAAGCTGATAATTAACCCTCCATAACCTCTATTATCTTCATGTTTGGGTTAGAATAAATTTCCAATAACAGATGGAGAATTGATCATAGGAATTTTGTCTTCAGGTATAATTAGCAAACCAGATGTAGAGGCTGAATGTGAGAAAGGGGAAAGAAGTGAATGAAAATGTGAAATTACCACCAAAACATCTTTAAAAAAGAAAACATTTGAGGATGTTTTAGCTACATATTTTTTTGTGGTTGAATGCCAAGAGCCATTACTGTTCTACACATCCTAACAGTATGAGAAAATTCAAATCAGCCTTGAGGAGGAGAACTAATCCTGTCTTTATCCACTTGTAGCACATTAAGTACCAGGGAAAAGAAATTTGTTAAAATTCTTAATTGTCATGGATTGATTCTGTAACAAGAGATATTTAAATTAAGTCTGGATTTAATATAATTATAAAGGGCACTGAAAACAATAAACATAACATACAGTTCCTGCAAAAATAGGTTAGCTATGAAAAAGACTATAGAAAAAAATTTTGATTTAAATCCTGCCTGTCTAAGGCACAATAATTATATTCTGAGCCTCTTTCCTTTATCTCTTGCTTCCTAATTCTGGCAAGCCATAGTATATGCAGTTGCCTTTTTTGCCAGTTTCTCAGTATGTGTGTATGTGTGTGTGTAGTTATATAAAAGGTGTGCTTACAGATAAATTTTCTGATTATAAATATAAGTAAACATACAACTAGCTAAAATCCTGCCCCATATGAGCTAGAAGGCCTGTGTCCATTTAAAGATCTATAAAAATCATTAAACTCACCACTCTG